GGGGGTGGGGTGGGGTGGGAGAGCGGCAGCCATGCGCAGTTTCATGCAGCGCACACAAGCAGCACTGCGTGGTGTCTGCTGATAGACAGAAGCCATGACCTCCAAGAGGCACCTTCCCTTCACCTCCCACCCCACCGCACACACTGCATTCACCTGCACTCTGCATTGCACCCCCAAGGGGCAACAGCTCTGCTCCGGCTGAAGAGGTCAGCCAGCCCAGCACCAATCCCCACTGAGCAGAGCCGCGGTGGATGGGAGTGCCACCCCACACCAGAACCCCCCACGAGCCAGGACACCCTAAATGGCCCCACCAGCTGGCCGCTCCTCTGGAGTGGGCAGAGGCCCAGGCTCTGGGTAATAGGGCAGTGTCCTGGGCATCTGGTCAAAGGGTGGGAGGTCAAGCATTGTCTCAGGCTTCAGGTCAAAGGGCTCAGTCTCAGGCAGTAGGTCAAAAGGCACCATCTTGGGTGTGGCCAGGTCAGAGGGTGCGATCAGCTTCTTCTTGGGCTAAGATGAGGAAAAGGGGTTTTAATGGGGTTTGGGGTAGGTGCAGGTGGGGTGGAGGAAAAAAGGCTGCGGTGGGCATAAAGAGGTGGGCTGGTGAGTAAGGAGGAGAAGGAAGCACAGGGTGTATGAGGGTGAAAAGAACACACTTTAAATGTTTCAGCAGAGGGCCTGCGGCTGAAAGAGATGGGCCAAACCTAGGCCCATGAATTAATAAACACAATTTAAGCTGAACCCCCTCCTTCCTTCTAGAATCTTCCATAGTCGCATCGTTGGCCTCTGTCTGACCTTCTACCTCTATCCAGCTGTGGTCATGGGGTGAGCCTCTTGGGGGGTTGGAGTAATAAGGGAAAGAGGCTACTCGGGTGGGGAAGGGATTCTCTGAGACAGTTGTTGGCATCTAGCTGGGGAGGTCCCAGTGAGTTCAAGAGCAGGCCAACAATTTCACTGTCTTCGCGGACAGAAGCTGCCGATCCCAATTCTTGTTATTCCCCAGGGCCGGGTAGGTACCGGTGCCGCCCCGGATAAGGAGAGGGAGAGGCAGAGGCATGGAAGAGGGACGTCTGTCCTGGCTATTTCCCCTTGGCCATGTCCCATGCTGCCTCCCTGGCCACTCACTTCTGCCACCCACGTCTGGCATATCGGACACCAAGACGCGCAGAGAAATCGGGATTAAAATAAACCAAGCTACTTCTGCGGCAGGTGCCCACGCAGCGGCTCCCCACGGCTCCCCACTCTTGCTCCTGGTCTGTTGCTTTTGCTTTGGACAGTCAGAAGTCAGGGGAGAGGCACTACCAGGCTCCAGTGACAGACAGTGTGAGTGAAAGCCCGGGGGGAGGGGCCCCCAAAACTCAAAACAGCAGGTAGCAACGTGCCCTGAAGGACACGGAGAAAAGGTAGGAGGGGAAGGAGGCTGAGCAGCAAGGAGCCAGCATGGGCCTCTCAGTCGGATGCAAAAGCCAACCCAGGGAACACCTGGACAGGCCAGGGAGCTCCTCCCCTCCCACTGAGCCAGGTGTCCACATAGTGCCTCTGCTTCAGCACTCTGAAGTCAAGCAGCTAATGGCCACCAACTTCAGCTAGCACAGGGTGAGCACATGCATGTGCCCCTATGCCCAGCCCACCCCTACCCCCGCACACAGCCGTCCCAGTGCCAGGGCTGTGCCACTATCTCTCCAAGAACAAAGGTGCTAGACAGAGTCTAGTGTAGAACTAGACTGGCTTCTGCCGCAGAGCCTGGAATGGCAGGAGGAGGTGGGGAGCCAGAGACTATATCAGAAGAAGGGGTACACCTGGCTCCTGGCCCTAGCTTGACTTTCAGTTATATGAGTGACAATCAGCAAGCAGCTCCCCCTCTCTGGACTTGCGCTGAGTTCCCTCAGCCACAAACTGCAGGAGCTGAAGTTGCTGATCTCTAAGGCATCTTCCAGCTCAAAAGCTCTTTCACCCAGGATGACGACACTTTCTGGATCGATGAAGCAGAGCAAACCACTGTTGACCTCAGAGCCACTGTAGCTCCCCCTGACTTGCTATTAGTTGCCCACTCTGTGCCATCTCCTCCTTTTTGATGTCTGGCCTTTATAGAGAAAAAAAATCAGAGAGAGGAGTATGATTTCCTTTGGTCTTAGGAATACCCTAAAAAATATTCTCTCTGCTTTGGAGCCAGTGACCAGCAAAAACAATGTAAACTCAGCTTTTTTTAGAGAAAGAGCAGGTAAACACTCTCTCCATGGTTTAGGGGGTGAGAGGAACCAGAGCCCCAAGGTGGGGATATTTTTGGACACAAGTTTGGAGTTTTGTGGAACAAGGTAGCCCTCATTTTCTGAGTTCAGGAAGGAGCTTTAGGTTGGGTTCAATTTGGGGAGGAAAAGCCAGCAGGCCCTCATTCCAGGCCTGGTTTCCTCCCTTTTAATGCCCATGAACCACCTAATCCCTTAAATGCTTCCTGGTCATCCTATTCTTAAGCAGGGAGGCAGGTCTGATGGGTGCATGTGTCCATCAGTAAATGCTTCATTAAAACTGCTCCAGAAAACATTAATTTCCACTTTAGCCCACTTTCTAGATTAGAAAAGAAGTGGCTCCCTAGAGACCACAACCCTTCGCATGTACACAACTACGCCCCATCCAGCCTCCAGCTGACCCATCCCCATCAGGGCTCCTGCAGTGCTCAGCCTACCCACTGCTTCCCTCCACCCCCCTGCTGCCAGTAGGGCCCACTCCTCTTCTTCACTAGCTGCTGCCTAAAGAGCTATCACCTGGGAGGATGGGCCCCAACTGCTGGTTTGTGGATGGGGTCAGAGAGGGAAATGCCTGAGGGTGGTGAGGACTCAGAAGTGAGCTCGAGATGAGGGCTCTGATAGCCTGGGTGGGATGGTCACTGTGTGTGTGTCTGTCTGTGTGTGTGATCAAGTGCACACTTGACCAATGAAATCATTATGCCTGAAACTGGGGTGAGATCACACAAGGAATTCCCTCCTTTATCCTCCAGGAAGGGGCTGGAAGCCAGATGATCTGATTTTACAGGGCCCTTCCCACCCTTTCAGACTCCCCTCTGCCCTGACCTCCTCACCTCCCACATCTGCAGTGGGAAATACAGCATCCCCTCCGGCTTCCACCCGGGAGTGCTCACACCATCCCTGGAGCCCCATCTCTGCTGGCCCATCCGAGCACGGACCCCTTCAGCCTAATTTGACCATAAATGCTGCTACCCCAATCTTCCCTATTAGGTCTGCCAAGGCGCAGAGCTATTTTTACCTCATTCTCTTCCCAGGCCTGCAGATCTCTAGGGGGGAGCAGCCTGGGCTTCCCTCCAGCAGCTGAGTCCCCCACCCCCTTGACCCCACCTGGAACATCTGCTCTGCAGCTCAGGAAAGTTGTGCCTCCCTGAGCCCCACCCTTGTGGCTGGAATCTCTCCTTTATATCTGAGGGCCTTTTTGGCTCAAGGGGCTGAGTTAGTTCTTGTTGGGGGGCTGAGTTAGTTCCTATCTTGTTGTTTAGGGGCTCTGGCCCCTAAAGCCAGTCTTTCCATCTCACTTCTCTGTCCCCCTGCTAGCCTGGGTTTACACAGATTCAGTCAAAGCCCTCTGTGCCTAGACCCCCGCCCCTCCCCCGCATGTGACATAGACTAATCCCTGCCAACTGCGGAGAGGGAGTGACACAGGGAGAGAGGGAGTGACAGGGATGCCACTGGCCTCTGCACACACTGGCCTCTTCCTTCTAACCTGTCGGTCTCAGATTCGCCCAACCTCAGACAAAACAAGGCGTAGAACAGAGAACTTTCCTAAATTCTAGGGTCTGGGGCACTCAGAGCGAGCAGGCCAGCCTTTCCTGACAACCCTCTACCCCACCAGGCGTCGCTGGCTGTCCCAGAACCCTGTCTTCTTCTCTTTCCTTTGATGCCCCCCACCCCCAAATGCTAGGCAGATATCTTTTGAAAGTCTCTCTCACACTGCACTATCCTGCTTCCGCCACACTGTTAGATTAAGTAGAAATAGCAAATAGCCCTGGGCAGATATTCTCCACCCGACACTGCTGCAAGAGGAGGGTTCCCCAGCCTCTGAGCCTCTGGGAAGGACCCTGGGCCACGTGGGGAGGGCCCTGCCTCTGCCAGCCCCCCACCACCACCACCTCCTTGAGCTGAGGGTGTCAGCTCAGTCCCCCCTTCTGTCTGGAACACTTGTTCCAAACTGCGTCTTTCTCAGCCCCCCCTAGAGACAATGCCAAGGGTCTCACTGGCACCCAGGATGGTCGCCCAGAGCCCAGCCTGCCCAGGCTTCAGCAGCTGGGGAAACCACAGGGTGCTGAGAAGTGCCTTCTCCTTGCTTGTGGGAGAAATCTAGCCTGCCTCTCCTTTCCATTCCCTGGGAGACAGAAGTGCGGGGGAAGGAGCATAATCTTACCCCTTCACCCCCAGGACACACCTCCTTGGGGCAGGGACATCAAGGGAGGACAAGAAGTGGGGGAGACTGGACACACTCCCTCAGCAGATCAAACATCACCCGGCCCTGAGGCCAGCTCTATCATAAAGGGACACGGAGATTCCCAGTTTTATAGGGGGTCATGAAACGAAAACTCCACTTTAATCCAGGAATGGGCGAGGTGCTGCAGAAGAAACGGGCGACCTGGGCGGAGCCTGGCAGCGCCAACCTCCAGCCGCCTGTCCAGCGGCTCCTCGCTCCTCCGCTGTCCTCCCAGGCAAACGGGGTGATTCATTGAGCAGGACCGGGCAGCGCCTGTCCCCTCCCCTCCATCAGCCCCTCTGATACTCCCCACGCAGCGAACTCCTCGCCTCGCCCCCGCCTCGCCCCTGCGTGGGTTTAGATCAGGTCAAGGGTACAGCAAGCCGCCAGCTGGGTATCTCTAAGGGCCCGAAAGTGCCCGAAGGCCAGACAGATCGCAGCGAGCAATGGGGTAGCAGCTGACGCTGAGGCGGGGGCGTGGGGTCCGTGGGTGTGCGTGTGCTGGCGGTCGCGTCCCTCGCCTGGCGCAGCCCCCGCCCATGCGTGCCTGAGCCCTGAATCACCCGCTATATCTGGCGGGCAGCACGGGAGGCCCCAAACCCGGTCTTGCCGCCAGTGTCCGCTTACAGCGGGCCCCAACAGCCTCCGGGGACCCCTGGCTTTCCCCAAAACTTGTCCCAAGAAGAGAGACGTTCAGCAGACCCAAGCGGGGAGTGGTCTGTGAGAGGCAATATTCCCTATTCCCGAGTCCACCCCGTAACTCGGTTCCGCTAGAAGTTTGACTCAGAAGTGGGGGGGCAGGTTGAGGAGGTGCAGGACGCAGAGCGAGTCCCTCGGTGCGCTCGAGATCCGCTGCTCACCCCACTTCACCCCACCTCAGCAGGACCCGCCTGAAAGAGCGTGGGTCCCCAGAAGCGGGCCAGCGCCGCCGGCAGGCTCCCCGACCCACCCCACCCGCCTTCCCCGCCCGCCAGTAAGCCCGGGGCAGGGGACGGCAGGCCGGACGCGGGAGCCCTGCGCGCGGCCCGCCCCGCCAGCTCACCTGGTAGATCATGACTTTAAAGTTACGGCGCCTCAGCAGCTCCGCCTCGTTGACCTCCAGCTTCTTGATCTGGCCGGCCTGGCGCTCCAGGCTGCCTCGCACGGTCTTCACGTTGACGCTGACCTTGCGCACCTTCTCCAGCAACTTGCTCACGGTGTTGCTGGTGGTGGCGTGCGCCTTGCCCAGCTTGCTCAGCTCGCCCTGGATGCTCTGCACGGCGCCCTCCATCTCCGCCTGCCGCTCTTCCAGCTGGGACTGGGTCAGCTGGATCTGGTCGACCGCGCCGATGATTTTGTCCAGAAGGCTCAGCACCAGCACGCCGTTCACCTGGTCGGACTTGATCAGTTCCTCAGAGCCGGCCCCCGACGGCTCCTCGGTGGCTGGCGCCCCCAGGGGAGAGGACCCCGAGTCCCCGGCGTCGGGGTACCCGGAAAGCGGCTGCTCGATGATATGGAGCTGGGTGTCCTCCATGGCTACCCGGAGCCGTGTGGGACCGGCCGGGTGGAGCTGTAGCCGGAGCGGGAGACCCGGAGAAGAGGAAGAGAGGGAGGAGGGAGAGCCCGGAGAGCGGAGGAAACTCGAGCCACGTCCGTGCGCACCGGGACGGCCGCCAGAACTGTGGGGCGGGGGATCGGTGAGCTTCCCGGCTCCCGGGCCAAACCCGGGAGTCTCCTTGCCGATTGGCTGGCTTCGACCCAGAAAGGGAGGGACCCGGGCAGAAGGGGAGACCGATGACGGGGAAGGGGGGGGCAGGCGAGGGGGACCCAAGAGCCGAGCGCCCCACCCTTCCCAGGATGGTTGAAATAGTTGGAACCGGAATTTAGGGCCTCGGCTGGCAGCGGGGGCGGCGGAGCGGGACCCGGGCGGAGGAATGTGCGCTGGAAGGAAAGCAGGTCCCCGGGCTTTGCTCGGCTTTTCTCTCACTTTCTTTTTTTCTTTTTGTTTCTCCGCCCCGCAGGCCCACCTCAGCCTTTAAAGTCCGATAGCTGGAGTAAGGTGGAAAAACGAGATCATGAATTATTTGCAAAATATGTATGTCCTGTGCCTAGTTTTTGGGTGGGGAGGACTCCACGACTCCCACAGTGGCTCCAGAGGACCTCCGACATGCACCCCTCCCCCAACACACACACACACCTGACCAGCCACTATTCTGAACACTTAAAGGGAGGTTTGTTTTGGAGGGAAGGAAAAGAAGCGAGAACTCAGTCACTGACAGTGGAGCTGGTGGTAAGTGGGCCAAGCTTCTCTAGGTTCTTAGAATTATGCTAACAAAGCCCGTTCAGAGAGGCCAAAGGATAAAAAGTAAAGGGACACCCACTTCTCAACTCTCTAAAAACCCCCTTTCCCTGTCCTTCCCCCTGTCCCAGAGGCCTGCCCCAGAGAGCAGCCATCACTCCAGATCTCAGACTGGCCTCACAATCAGACCTCATCAAATCCCACGTCCTCCTTTGACAGGGAGTGAAGTGGGAAGGGCAAGTGACTTGTCAGAGGTAACCCTGAGGTTAGTGTTGGCTGGACCCTCAAACCAGGTACCTCCCCGGTTTACGGCTTTCTTGCCCTTTGCACCTCAGCCCTCCTTGGGACAGGGAGGGGCAAGGAGGGACCTGGCCTCCCACAGTTGATTCCTGAGACTGCTGGCCTGAGAACTCCCTGCAAACACTTGTTCCGGCTCTAATAGGTACCAAGAAGAAGGGCCAAGGTGGTCTCCTAGTGCCAATGTCCAGGGAAAAAGAGGGACCGCCTGTCCTCCTCCATAGTGTGGCTAACACAGCACTGCAGCCAGGAGTCAGCAGAGTCATTGCCAGCTCCCTTTCCCCCAAAAAGCTGCAACCCTTTTCCCTGGTTAGGAAACCAGGTTGGGTTTTCCCAGCTGGGTAGATGATGGTCTTGGCAAAAGGTCACATCTAGTCTGGCATGCATGCATTATCCCTAGGGAGAGTGACAAGCTGCTTTGTGGGGACCCCGGTCCTATTAATCCAGACACAGAACCCGCTAACCCAGACAGAAGCTGGAACACTCACTGAATGGAAAAGCACCCCCAAACTACTAAAGAAATTATTTTCCCTAACACTTCCATCACTGTTTTCTCAGGAACAAGTGACTTTCTTATTTGAGATTTAATGATAGAATGGGTGACTTACAAAGTCATCTGTGTGTAGGTGTATATATATGTATGTATAGATAGATAGATAGTGTGTATATATGTGTGTGTGTATATATATATATATTCTAGAACTATATATATTCTAGAACTGACAGGTTCCCAAATTATTTTAGAATTTAGGAGAAAATGTAGTATAACATTTAATATTCCTTCCACATGAGACTTCTGAAAAAACAATACAATGAGAACTTATTGTATCTTCACAAAGTTCTTACTTTATTTTAAAATTGGTTAGATATTTTAACAGATGACATGAAAGATGTAAATTGTGAACCACAGACAAAAAATATAGTGGGAAAAAAGTTTTCTTTCTGCTCTTGTCTGTAGCAGTTTCTCTCCCAGAAGGCAATTGTTACTATTTTCCCTATTTTAAAGTCCGATTTTACTCTTTGGAGTAAAACAGACCCTTTGCTGTACACAAAGTTATATCTGGGTTGCGAAAATTCCCTCCCCTGTTTCCATGCCGCTGTGGTTTTCTGCATTCCTCCTTTTGTTTTTCTTGTATTTGTCCCAGAAAACTTAGCAACAGATGGTTACTGATCCAGGTCTGTCAAATAGATACTGTATTAATAACTTCTTGTGCAATATTTTACAGAAAGTCTATGTGTGAGCATGGACTTTTATTAAAGTCATTTTTTAAGGTTTATTTATGCATACAAGAACTGGGATACAAGCCAGAGGTGGGGGTGGTGGTGAGAGGACTCCCCAGAGACAGAATAGGGAGCAGAACAGGAGGACCTACTGAAGTATAGTGTTTAGGGGAGCAGCAGGCTGGCACGAGAGGCCTGCCTGGCCATGTGGATCATCCCCCAGGCCTATAATCAAACCTATGCTTCAATGGCTACAGATAGCTTAGAAATTTTTCATCTATGGAGCCTCCCTGGTGGCACAGGGGTTAGACCACGATATTATGAAGCTATTCAAAGCCACTGCAGCATGAGTTCAATACCTCACCAGGGAAGTAGGCCTCTCCTGTCCCACCTGCTGTGCCCTCAGCAGTGTCTTTCAGTCAATCTGATATTCTCCACTCCATCTCTGGTGACTCCTCTCGTCCACCCTGCACCTCTGGCCTGTACCCCAGTTATTGTATACATAACTAAAATTAAAAAAAAAATTTGTCCCTGGTGGCGCAGTGAGTTAAAGCACAACACTGAGAAGCTAAAGCCACTTCCGCATGAGTTCGATTCCTGCCTGCCCCGGAGGTGACCACATGATGTGGCAGACCTCTCCTGACCCGCCCGCTGCTCCCCTCAGCAGTGTACTTCATCAGTCTGCCTGTTCTGCTCCCCACTCTGTCTCTGGTGAATCCTCTCACCTTCCCTGCACCTCTGGCCTGTACCCCAGTTCTGTATGCACAAATAAATAAATCTTAAAAAAAAATTTGTCCATCTAGTATATGTAGAGCTGCCTTAGTTTCTAGTGTACGGATATGCTATACTTCACGAGATACTTCAAAGTGACAGTTTAAACTTCACATGGTGGGGCAATGGATGACGAAGAGGAGTTTTAGTGTCAATTTGCTTTTTGTGGTTGCATGCTTGCTGCCAAGGAATGAAGTCCACATCATTCTAGCTTTCCCATCGGGAAAGCATTTCCAGTCTTCAAAAAGAAATGACAGTATTTGTGGATGAGTCAAATTATGTCCCAGGGATAGACCAGTGATATGCCTCTGACTCATCTGATTCCGTCTCCTTACCAGAGAGTTTTGCAGAAAGGGCCTCCCCTGTGCACCTATGTCCAAGAAATAATCTGCATCAAGTTTCTCTCTGGCTTCTCTTAGTAAATACCCGCTAAATGCAGCAGAGGGCACACTGAGTCTTAAAGCACAGGCTTGGTCAACACTCACCCACAACTGGGCTCCACAGTCTCTCCCAGGAGACGTCACTCCATTTCAGTGACAAGAAATGTTTCTCCTGATTTGAAATTGCATCCAGCATGCCACTGCCTGCACTCAAGGTTGAGGCATCGTGTTTTCCTTTACTCACTTTTATTTGCTGAAAGGCACACTGTTCTTTTGTCTGCTTTCAGCTGCTGAGACAGAGTCTGTAGAAGGATAAATGGAGGCAAACAATCTCTTTGACCCAGAAAAAGAACACTGTAGTGCAGCCCTGTCAGCAGCTGGAATCTTGGGGTTCTCTCTTGTACCTCTATAGTACCCGTCCATCCAATCACTCAGCCAAGGGTGACTATGTAGCCTGCGAAAGACTGTTACCCAGCTGGGGACTTCGATGGGGGTAAATAAAGCCCAGTCCTTCCTGTCAGGAAGCTCATAGAGCAGCAGTGGGGGACAGAAGCATAAGTAGTTTTTGTTAAAAGGTGGAGAGGGCTCCAGCAGCTCAGGGGAGGTTACCCCACTTCCTGGGAGAGTGAGGAAGGCTTCAGGAGTGATTGTAAGGAGAAGGAGGTGGGGCACACCCTTTTTTCTTTCCCTGAAATAACATGAGGTGAGAAGGGTGTTGGGGGGCGGGGGGCAGGAATACCAGGCGTGGCTCATCTGATGGCCTGATTCTGCCATAAGTCTTATCTGTTTACATTCAGGACAAGCCAGCAAGGGGTAAGGGGTGTTGTGAGCAACGTGCTCTGTTCAGTTTTTAGATTCACACTGGGAGAAATCCTAGGGAGACAATATGGTTTTTTTTTGTTGTTGTTGTTTTGTTTTTCTTTTCCTACTTCTTGCTTAACTTTCCAAAATTAGATATTGGGCTAATCACGTTCTATAAGATGTTTTCTTCCAAGGAGTAAGGATAGTAGCCTTTGTATCACACAACCCTGTACAAAATTTGACACAGGCTGTCCCCTTTACAGGGGAGCAGTGAGGTCCAGGGAGGCCGAGGGCCTTGCCCAAGTTCCAGGCACCCTGTGGCACAGAGTCCTAGAACCTCTATCTCCTTAGTCTCGATCATCTCCTTGCTGGGACACAGTGCTGTTTCTCCACTGGCTGTGCTCACGCCATTCCGACAGCTCTCCCCCCTCTAGCCAGGGGGAGTAGTGCCCCTTCAGACTTGACTACACCCAACCAGGAGAAAACAGCTTCTGTCAGTTAGCAGATGATACCCGCAAATCATTCTTGAGAACCCCAACCCCATACGATGCTTCCAGCTACTTCTTACGTGCAGCCCTCGGTGATTGACTTTCTCCTCTCTCTGTTCTGGTGGACATCATGCATTGCAAATGCCCTGCTTTTCACTGGGGCCCCTGCTGTGGTCACAGCCTCACTGAAGACTGCTGGGACACCGAGGACCCCGCTGGGGCCCCTTCAGAGGTCATGTCATCCCTCCACGAAACAATATTTTTTTTAATAATAAATGCTGGGGGCCTCCCTGGTGGTGCAACGGGTTAAGCGCAGCACTGTGGCGCTGTCAGCAGCCATTGCAGCATGGGTTTGATCCCGGGCCAGGGAGTGACCTACATGGCCCAGCAGACCTCCCCTGACCCGCCCGCTGCTCCCCTCGGCAGTGTACTTCCGTCAGTCTGCCTGTTCTGCTCCCCACTCTGTCTCAAGTGAATCCTCTCACTACCCTTGCACCCCTGGCCTGTACCCCAGTTCTGTATGCATAAATAAATAAATCTTTAAAAAATAATAATAAATGCTGGGTACACGATATGCCTACACGCCAGGCAAACTCTCCCCCACGGAAAACCAGTCATCAGCAGCTGGTTCACAGCTGCCCCAGGCAGCAGCGATGTTTTCTCCCAGATTTATAGACACTATTCTTGTCACTCTG